TCTTCCCCCATAGCGGTTTTTCGGGGGGAAAGGTTCCAGGAACGGTTTAATTTAAAATTTAAATTTTAAATTTTTNCCCTCTCCACCCTTNCACATTGGATCAATTTTATCAAAGAAAAATAATGTTGGGTTTTTTGGGCCGGGGTGTCGTCGTCCTCTGAAATGAGGAATTTCTCGTTGGTTCTTCTGGCCAAATTTTTTCCAAAGAAGGCCTTTCTCCTTCCTTCTTTTCTTTTTTGAAAAAAGAAACGGTCGCTAACAAGAGTTAGCTCACTAATAACTTTTCTAATTTAGGATTTATTATCGTCATCATCAATCAATCAGCCAATCAATCGATATATCTGGGCTTGGTAATTGCCGTTATTTCTCTTTTTCTTTTTTTTCGCTGTTGTTGAAACATCATCAATTGGCCTTCTTTCGTTGCTATTTTTGGTACTAACACGCATCTTGAAACAAAAACTCAACTAAACTTCTAACTTCTACTGTTGAATGAACTACTAAAACTAGAAACGATCTCGTATACGCAATTTTTACTTGTTAAAGCGTCTCTCTAGTTTCCAATTAAATATACAAATATATATCAAATATACATCCTTATACTCATACTTAACAAGATCCAAAAAAAAAAAAGAAAGAGGAATAAATCGATTCCAATGCACTTAATTTATGCTAAACTATTAGTTAGCATCACATTAGCAACAATGAATCAAGGTTCTCTTGAGTCAATTGCACGTTTAATGAATCTTTCTCACCTTGTGTAGTCATCAAGTTATACTCCAATTCACTCTTAATTATTTTGAATTTGATATCTTCAAGTTTATCGTCGATTTCTTCACTTGTCTTGTATATCCTCTTGAACGTCTCTTGTTCTTCAACTTTATTCTCATCTTGTCTTGTTAAATAATACATTGGCGTAATCTTGCTATCAATGATTTTTCTATTCTTGCCATTCTCACCATTACCCTCATATCGACTCTCTACTATCACTCCAGGTGATTTCCTTCCTGTATCTATTATTCTCGTTTGCTGTTGGTGATCTACTGAACTTGCAGGCCCTGATGGCGGCACAAGAGGTCCACCTATACCGCTGCTAATGGCAGTGGCAGCACCCACACCACTAATGCTTGTTACTGCACTACCACTAGTCACGTCACCGTCATTATCTGTAACAGGTACAGATGGTGGTGGTGGCGGAGGTGGTGGAGGAGTTGTTCCACCTGAATAATAGTTCGCTTGGCGGTTCACATACCCCCCTGGTTTACGTATCCCTCCTCCTTGACGGTACCCTCGATAACCACTGGAATTATAATAGTTATTGTTGTTATTTGTGTCTTCTCTATATCCATAATATCTTCTATTCATGCCGCCTCTATTATAGTATTTATTATTACTGTGGTAGTAATTTTGCTGATGTTGCTGCTGCTGTTGCTGCTGTTGTTGTTGTTGTTGCTGCTGCTGTTGTTGTTGTTGTTGATGATGGTTATGATGATGACGATATCCACTGCCCTCACCGCCAGTGTTGCCATTCACATTACTGCTGTATCGCTGTTGTCCGTAGCCTCCGCCGCTATTGCTGTTGTTATTATATCGACTGCTACTCATCGTATAGGCTTAATCACTGCTTGTATTTCCCTTGGTCCACTCACGTATAAATCTCGCCTTGCATAAATATATCCTTCATTTTATGCTTTTATCATTGTCATAATTCCACATCAACATTATCATCAATTTCTTGTTATTTGCAATTGCTAATTTTCAATTTCTATCTAAATCGGCATTTTCCGTCGAGAACAGAAATATTGATCCGAAAAATATTTCGTTACAAATGATACAGACACGTGAATATACGATAGAGCAAGAATAAATTGTGTACTCATTATTAAGCAAACCTTTAAGCGTTTACTACTCCAAAACTTCAATAATATGTAACATAATTCTAGAGCAGTTCCGGTTCAGGCTCAGGCTCAGACTCAATGTAAATTTGAATTCTGGGCAAAAATGCGGTTTACAATCACAACCATTTTATTTAAGAAAATGTTACCTTTTTAAGCCTCTTACTTCTCCACTTTCACACACCCCTTGCAGGGTAGCAAACACGTTTGCACCACCGCCCAAAACCTTCTTTTAAATTTATCACCCGGTGAATTCATTCCCTCCTTCTAAGCTTATTTGAAATGAAGGGGTGTTAATTCCAATTTTAACCCCATCCCTAATTCAGTCGCAATTCAAAACAAAAATGGAGTGAACTCCAATTTTTGATTTTTAGCAGAATATATATTTTTAAATATTTAAAAAAAAGGATTTTTATCCCCTCCTTTAATGGTGTTACCTACTTTGTAAAGAGTGTGAAA